TCCCAAATGAGCAGTGCTTCATGTTTATGGGCAGTATCAAGTGCAATCTTACCCTGCAGCCATTCAGTTCTGCAAAATTCTCATATCATCAGTTCTGCATCTGTCTCATATCTTCACCACCATGGTGTTGCCAACAAATTTTACCCTCTCCCACCGTTTTGAGACAGTTTACAAGTTTGTTATGATGCAAAGGTCCCAGTATGGCTCCTTCTGGCCTTTCCCTTCAACGAAAATCATTCACTTACTCTCACATTTTTACCTTCTTTCTTATCTAGGCAAACACTTCTCCTTCTGGCCTGTGACAACTTAGTTTCTAAGTTTCTGCACTCTTCTAAATCTGGGTCCATAGCTGATTGCTTTCCAAGCCTGGGACTTCTCTCAGCATCTCTTCAAATTGCGTTTTCTCCTTTTAGTGTGGGGCATCCTCACAAAGGGATCCAGGCACAGGCTCAGTGGGAACTGCAGTGGTGTCAGAATTACTTTTGCCACTTTGCGCTCAGTCCCTTTTCTAATAACAACTAAAACTCATTTTGCCTTCTTGACACTTTGAATATTCAATTGGTGTAACCAAAGCAAAGCAGAGCTCTGTCTGAGTGACAAGAGCTAATTTACAACCCATCTTTGTGTTTACATATAATTAAGTTATTTTTCCTCCATGCACTTTGCTTTGCAATTACTTACTCTGCCTTTCACTTGACATTTATCACTCTTGTAAGATATTTCTACAACTCCTCAGTTACCTGCACTTTTGGAAAAATATGACAAATAATTCTGAATCATCTGCATATTCATCACTTCATTATTCACCAACATTTTCTTATCATTTCTGAGTTTGTTGAACAACAAAAATCCTCTTTTACTCTTTGTGATAACTAACCTTTGTCTCCTATCTCAAAAGAAGTTATTTGTTTATTTCTTTCTGATTTTACCTCCATGCACTCATTCTTTTTTTCTGTTTTCTTTATTTGGCTTTGAAAGAAAAGGCTCTTTTTTCTTATAGTAGCTTCCTTTATTTTTTGTTTAACTCTTCTGGATCTATATGCATGCATGAGGACATCTTTTTTTTCTTTTTTTTTTTTTTTGTGGTAAATATTTATTCTCAGTCCCTCATATTGTGCCTGTAAATACCACTGTGCTGTTTGCAAGCATTTCACCCATTTTACTGACCCTTTAAGTTCCATTTAGTTATAGGATCATAAAATATCCTGAGTTGGAAGGGATCCACAAGGATCATCAAGTCCAATTTTGGGATCCACAGAGGACCACCCAAAATTCAAACCCTATCTCTGAGTGTTTTGGATGTTGAAATTCAGGCCTGACGTTACATATCTGATTAACTTCATTGCTTTTTTCATTTTACCATTTAGGCATGAATGCTGACCACAAAAATGTGTAGAAAGTTCATATTCTTTTTTAAACGTGCTCTGAAAGAGTTTGTGCACACCAAGTTAAAGGTGGTTTGGACACCCACGCTAATATATATCTGGTATAGGTATATTTATCTAAGAGATAGGGCTGAATGGCTCTCAACGCTTACTTTGAACCATTCGTTCCCAGAGTTAAGATGTAAGGTTTCCTCTGTTTATTTTTTGAACCCACAGTGTTATTTGGTAGATAGGCAAATAACAACCTGAACTGAGAGCTTTTGTATGCTCATTCAGCTTGTGGGAGGCTGACGGTCCCATTGGCACCAGTGCAAGGGTTTTCTCACAGTGTATGCCTCAAAACAACTTAGAGAACTGTCACAGACCCTGTTGTATCTCTTATCTTTACTGCATGCTTTTTTGTGTTTCTTCTTCTACAGGGGAAGGCTTCTACCTCTTTCTGTAGTTCTTCCCCATACCTATGCAGCTTTGGCTCTGGTCCCATGAGGATGATGCTTTGGCAATGTGGGGAAATGTGAGGTGTGGTGGGACTCAGCCTTGAGAAGGAACATTCATCCAGACTGAGGTGAACACAAGGGTTACAGAGTTCCTCTGTTTCCAATTGCTCCTGACTCAGTGTCTGGCCACGCTTTTCTTAGTGACAAGTATCTACCTCTGCAACAGGGGCAGATTTCTCTGTGGTGTGTCTTGCAAAGTAAGCTGTGCAAATGGAGAGCTGCAAAGCCTTTGGATGTACTCCAGGAGTTTACATTTATAAACATGTATTTAAATTTTTCCTAAGTCTCACCTGTTCTATTTTTCAGTCTGTATTTAACGGCATGCACACTTCCAAGTGTTGTGGTCTCATGTGCTGTCATACTCCGCAGTTTGGTTTAGATGTTTTTTTCCAGAAGTATTTCTTAGTTTGTCTATGAGGCCTAGTTTTGCTGTTTGGGTCCAAAAGCAGGGCCCTCCCTAAAAGGGAAAGGGAAAACCCAGCTCCAGCTCATGCCCTGCAAGGATGACCCAGGCGCAGGAATCTCTGATCTGCAGCACCCTTGTAGAATAAGGAAAACAGTCTGACAATAAAGGAGGAGAGCGTTGCTCATTCCTGCAGTTCTCATAAACATTCTCTTAAAACTCAGCATGGCAGTGAATGGCATGAGATGAGCTTTGCCTAGATGGTGTAGATGTACTGTTTCCTCTCACGGGTCCTCCTCCTTACTGGGCATCCCTTGCAGAGCTTGAAGGAGCAGAATTGATGAAGACTCCCACAAAATCCAGAAATACAAACTGGAGACGTTCATTGTTTCTCTGTGCCTGAGCCCTTAGCTCCATTGCAACCCCCAGGATACCAGAGAGTGGTGGTGAGAGAGGCCAGGAGACTGGAAGGAGGCGAAGAGCCCTTCCAGTCCCTTTGGTGCTCAATGCAGAGTGACACAAAGGTCTGGGTGGATACTGGCCTCTGGGAAAGAAACACATTTGTGGAGAAACCCCTGATAGTGTCCAAGGCTTTGCTATATAAACATATCAGAGATCTTAAAGTGATCTGCTGGCAGAAAGCGAGGGGCTCATTTCTTTCAAAGTGTTTGCTTTAAGATGCCAATCATGTGCTCTTTCCGTAGCAAGAACTCAGCGGTATATTTGCCATTGTGCATGTGGTAGGATTGGGCCCAAGAGCTGACAGCTGGCAGATAAGGGCTTAACTAATGTTCTGTAAGAGGCAGGAGGGACAGATGTTATCATGGTTGCCTGATTCATGGGCAGGGCCAATAATCAGCTGCAAGCTGCTGCTGTAGCATGAAGGCTGCACAGCTCCCGTGCGAGGCACAACGTTTCAGCCAGGCTTCTGAAGGAAGCTGGTGGAAAACTGATCTGGGCTTCCCCAGGACAAGCATCACCTCTGACCTCTGGGAGTGCTGTCAGCATTCCATATAAGGAGAAAAATGGATTTTTGAATTTTAGATCTGGTGTTTTCCCTCACTGGTGAAGGTAAAAGGTGAGGGCTGGCATGCTGTCCTCCTCCACCTCCAGCTTGGTATCTTGTGCAGTGAAGGATGCACACAGTGTCTGATATCTGAGTCATGGCTTTCAATGAGAGAACATAAAAAAAGTCTTTAAGAAGTTCTACAGCAGGATTTGAGACTCTCACTATAAGAAAGAAATTGAGGCCTGAAGAATATCCAGAGAAGGGCAAAGAAGCCGTGAGGGATCTGAAGCACAAGTCTGATGGGGAGCAGCTGAGGGAACTAGGATTGTTCAGTCTGGAGAAGAGGAGGCTCAAGGGTGACCTTATCACCCTCCACAACCACCTGAAAGGATGTTGTGATGAGGTGGGGTCGACCTGTTCTCCCAGGCAACAGCAATGGGATGAGAGGGAACGGCCTCATGTTGCACCAGAGGAGGTTCAGGTTGGATATTAGGGAATATTTCTTAGAAAGGGTGGTGAGGCAGTGACACAGGCTGCCCAGGGAGGTGGTGGAGTTACCATCCCTGGAGGTGTTCAAGAACCGCATGGATGAGGGACATGGTTTGGAGTGATCACAGGCATGGGTTGATGACTGGACTGTATGATCATGGTGGTCTTTCCAACGTTAATGATTCTATGATTCTATGAAAGTTAATTCTTGTGTTTTGTTTTTGCTTCTTTGTAGACCGAGATCTTTCCTATAGGGTTCAAAATACATCTAAACAAATAAATTACCTTCAAAACTGTCTTAGAAGTTCAAAGTTTATCAAGGAAAGAGGAAGAAAATAAACTCATCTATAATAATTAAAGACATAAAGACATAATTTTGTCAAGGAAAAAATAAAGCAACTTTGAATTTCACTTTTGATTATGAGCAAGAGGAGTTCCCTGGTGGCTGGGAAGTCATAAGCCCTTGAAATTGATAGCATGCGTATATTCTATCTAGGTTCACTTAGCTGGAACTAGTAAAGAAAAATACAATTAAAATATTCATACATTAAATTCAGTTATTTAAAGAAGCCAGATTTCCATGGGGCAGACACCCTTGCATAAGATGACTACTCCGCAGTATCAGCTGGGAGGTAGGGGACCAGCCCCTGGACAAGCACCATCCCCAATGGGTCAGGCTGATATCACACAAAAACTCTCCTTTTCTTACCCAAGTGTCCCATAGCTTGAAGGTGTCACAGCTCCAGCTGCTTTGCCACGTAAACTGAAGAGTAAATGTAACTCAGACTGAACTTAAGGACAAGGAATATTTGTGGCAGAAAGAACGCACTTGGAAAGGAAATATATGTATATGTTTTTCAGTAGAAGCAACCATTTGAAGCTGCTTAGTGTTCTGAAACATTCACATGGCTATGATGTCAGCTAGGAATGCCAGAGGCATGCAGTAATGTCCAATTAATAGATTAGGGGATCACGTAATAGATATGTGATCTAGGGGTATATAATAAATACGCAATGAAAAGTTCACACAAGCTTAGAAATTTATCTCAGGGATATCAAACTATACACGGTAACATTTCCTAATTAAACAACAACAAAAAAAGCAGCCTCTGAGTGAAGCTTTGCAGAGAACAATGTTATCAGATCTCTCCAGGTAAACATGAGGACCATATAAAACAGGCTGCTTGAAGCAAAGCAGCACCTCTTCTCTACCTCCCTTTCCAGCCATTGGCCTGAGGGCTCCCAGAGCAATGGATGTAAAGGGGATCTGCTTGCTCTTTGTCATCCTTGCTGTAGCCCTCATCAGCTCAACAGAAGGAAAACCACCATGTAAGTACATTTACTTCCTGTTGCTTTTGCAGGTATGTACATCAGCCTGATTACAGTGATTCTAATAACAGCAAGAGCATGCCTCCAGATCACATACCAGACTGTGACTGTATTGCTCTGGCACTATTCCCAAATCTGGAGTCTAATTTTTGTTTTCAGAGAAAGCTACAGCAAAACAACAACAAAAACTGCAGGTCAACTACTGGTGAAATAACCAGAAACCTGCCCCAAAGATGGAAGAACAAAATGCCCAGGTGTTCACTAGAACAGGATTGGGACTGGAGTAGTAGTTAGGTTTGTCTAAAGAGTCTCCTGACATCCATTTCACATTACTTTTCTGCAGGAATGTGTTTTCAGATAAGTCTATCTACCTCATCAGTAGAAGACAAGTCATTTAAGTAACTCAGGAAGTGGAAAGCAAGTAGCTCAATGGCACATGAAAAGGGACATCTCTAGAATTTCTTGGTTGTAGTTGACTATGTAATAGATATTAGTAACAAAATATTAAAAGTCACCACTCAGAGGGTGGTGACACACTGGAACAGGTTGCCCAAGGAGGCTGTGGATGCCCCATCTCTGGAGGCATTCAAGGCCAGGGCTGGATGTGGCTCTGGGCAGCCTGGTCTAGTGGTTGATAACCCTGCCCATGGGGGGGGGGGGGGGGCGGCGTGAAACTAGGTGATTGTTAGGGTTCTTTTCAACCCAGGCCATTCTATCTATGATTCTATGAAAAGTGCAGCTACAATTATTTGTCTGCAACTATGTTCTTACAGTGACCTAAAAGATAACACTAAGGTTTTTTATCTTTATACTTACTGAAGATCCACAGGACCCTTAACTCATTATTTCCTCAAATGAGATGAGCAAATTAACAAATATTTACCAATCAGCCAAATCAACCAATATTTACCAGCAAATATTAGCTCAATACCTGAAGTTATGATTTTTGGAATTTATGTGATCTGTTTGAATTTCACTGTCCCACTGTGCTGCGCTGGGCTGGATGCATGTGGGACCATGCCATACTGGGTGAAGTACAGTTCTTACTGAAGTTGATAGGGGAGTTTCACCTCAGCCATCAGGGAGGGGCCCAGCATTTCACTTGCCATCTATTTGCCATGAACAGATCTTAAAACAAACATTTTAAGTTTTGATCTTAACAAGCAAAAGAAAACATACATTTACAAGATGGACAGAGTCCAGGGAAAGCTTATCGTTTCAAGAGAACACTTGATAAATGCACCTCTGCTAAAAAGCAAACTAACACACAGTAACTTTGGATTTCTGTGCTCAACAGCAAAATGCCAGTGCAAAGTAGCTGCCAGAGAGCGGAAGAACTGCGGTCCCCCAGGAATCTCAGCAGCAGCCTGCAGGAAAGCTGGGTGCTGCTTCAATGCGTCAGTGCCTGGCGTCCCCTGGTGCTTCACTGCTAAACCAAAGAAAGGTAACACATCCACCAGAAACACTAACTTACCTAGTGTTTGCTTATACAGAAACATGTACAGTCAGGGAGCAGCTTGTTCTTACTTTCGAGCCAAAGAAGTGGGTGCAAACCTCTCTCAGAAGGCCTTTGGTAGAAAAATGCAAAGTTAAATATTGATTGCCTTGGAACAGGCTTGGAACGCATCCTCTTTGCACAAGATATTTCTTTTTCCTTCGGGCTCCTAGTTATCAGATAGCCCAAGCTGGCTGTTTAAAAACATTTCACTGCCAATTGTGGTCTTGTCTGTCAGTGGAGCATATGATGCTTGGCACTTACCTAAAATTCTATGTGACTGACAAGAACATTAACGCTGCTTTAGCAATATGTGTTAAAGAGATCAGAAAGTCCTCAGCAGATGAATCCATCTGCATTCATTTAAAAACATGGACATGTTGTAACTTACAGGTTTTTCTTCTTTTCTTTTTTTAAGATTATTTTCATGCTTACCACTTTCTTCATTTTCTGCATGATTCCCAGTATAATTACAATGTGTAGTTCTTTTTTTCTTTCCTGCCTTTTCTTCCAGTGTTCATTTAATGAAATCTCCAAATTATGTCACGGCAGATCATTTTCTCCATTAAATTCTTCCTTCTGCAGACCCATTGGAAAATCTGAACTCTTTCCATCTTTTACCCTTATGCTGCCATATAGGGTCAGAGGTACTCACCCAAATCCTTCAGTAGCTGAATGCATTTCATGTAACTGTTGAATTGTGCAGTGCCAACTGCATGACTCCTTCTCAGGAGAACTTCAGTGCAATTTTACCCATTGTACCACCAGCTCTGGACACATGAAATAAGAGGAAGTGAGGGTATAAAGGCAATGTTAACAAATAATTAACTTGGTGTGAATCAAGATTGTTCAACAGGGCTTAGAACTGCTGAAATTTAATTTTGACATTGAACACTGCTTGCTTTTCTTGTAAATCTTGAAAAAGAAATGGCTGTATCTCACAGTGTCATTTTCATGGAGTTGCTTCTACGAGGAGTAATCTTCCAGGATAGGAATATCTAATTATTCAACCTGGATGGTGAAAGTATTTTAAGAAGGTTTTAATGTTGTGGAAGGCGGCTTAACGTAGATTCCCCACAACTACACTTCCTATCTGTTGGTTGCATTCCCACAGAAGTTCCTTCCTTGCATGTAATTTTAATTTGCTGGATGAGCTGTGATTCCTCACAAGTGACTTAGCTTTCCTCCACAACTGAAGTTGGCATGGAGGTGAATGGATCTTCCTCTCCCCACGTCAGCAGGGCTACTGAAGTGTTGGTCTCTTGCATTGAGCCAGACACAAGGCTGCTGTCCGTGGTGTCATCATGGAAGACAAAGAATCACTGAATATTCTCAGTTGAAGGGAAACCAGAAAGATCACTGAGTCCAACTCCTAGCTCCACACAGGACCACTCGAATTCAAATCCTGTGTCTAAGGTGTTGTCCAAACACTCCTTGAACTCTGGCAGTTGGGGCTGTGACCATTCTGCAGTCGGCTCTCTGCTCCACTGCTGGATCTGCAAAAGGCAAAACCGGATTGCTGCCTGCCAGGCACTTCTAGGGATGAACTTTGGCCCATCTAGCCCCTAGGGTGCAGCAGAAGTTCCTCATCTTTTGGTATGTAGCTTTGCATACTAGGCATAGTAAGCGTTTGAGTGATCTTCCTGTCTGAAATCAGTGTGGAAAAGGTCACCACAGCTGTTGTGCTTGCTCATGCACCCCATCTACCTTTTGTTTGTGAATTTTTCCACCAGATACGTTGGGCATAATGTAACACAGCCTCTATCCTTCCTTCCTTTTTGCTTTACATAGTTAAGAAAGTGTGTCCTGCTGATCCTCGTATCCGAGTGAACTGTGGCTACCCTGGCATCACAGCTAAGGAGTGCTTAAGCAGGAGATGCTGCTTCCGGCCACGTCCTGCTGGTGTCCCCTGGTGCTTCTACCACCGCACGGTTGAAGAAGGTAACATCCAAATGAGATATCTCCTCTGTGTCCCCATGGCCACCCCAAAGTTCCAGAACAGGACAGGATCTTCTCTGATTCTCAGATCTCAGTGGGTTCAGAGCCTCCTCACCTGAAGGCGTGAGTGGGTGATAAACCCCTAAAAGACCAGCTTCTTGCATGGAGGGGTGGTGTTGATGTGTCCCAGGGCCAGGGACCTGAGGGCAATTGGGACTCAGGTATGAGTGCAAGCCCTTGGCTAGCATGATGATAGAGGTCTGGCTGTCAAGTCCACATCTGCTTTATCACAAGAGGCAAAGGCTTCTTTTTAGAGACACGGAGTGAACCTGACAAAAATTTCTGTTCCCCTCCTCCTGTATTACAGTACAACTGGTGCAGCCCTGGCTGTTTCCAAGCCACCCCATAGTCTATTTTGCCCCTGGGACTCTCATTTGATTTAATGATCTGAATCATATCTAGGAAACACATGTAAAGACAGGTAGGACACTAGTTGCTAAAGTCTGCTTGTTGGATGCACACACTCTTTTTAATGTACTGCATCTAGGCAAATACTTCCTTGCATCGTGTCAAATTTGAGGAAAAAACATATCTCTTAACATGCTTCTTCTCTTTTCCTCTCCAGGTTGTTAAAGTAGAAACTTGCTGAAGAACCTGCTCAACTGGGAAATAACAGCCAGATATCCCAGCTCCAACTTTCTGTTTGTAACAACGATTTCTAGGTGATTATTTCTTCATTCTGAAGAAAATATAACCACAACTTTTATTCTCTCAGTAGGGTAGTACGTACAGTTTTTCAACGTAATAAAAGAACCAAGACACAGTCCATGAGTCCTCTGCTATCTTTATTTCAAAGCTGCATATTTCTGCTTCCCATGAAGTCAGACATCTCAGCGATGTTCGCTGCTTACATTTCACAGCTGTATGTATGTGCTACCTGACAGGTGGCTGCATATGGACCCCTCTCTTTTCAGCACTGAAAATACTCAGTGCTCCCCTTCACATCGCTACAACAGTAGGGCTGGTTTGCTTTTTCCCCTCAGGACATAAGTGAAGTTCCATTTACTTGGGTGCTCCACAGAAAAGAAGCATAGTATCATTAAGGTTGGAAAAGACCACTAAGTCGACTTAGTCCAACCACCAACCCATCCCCACCATGCTCACTAACCATGTCCCTTTGTGCTGCAAAGGTCCCTGGGTTGGGTTCTAACAGGTCCCAACTGAGGCTGTTCTGCAAACAGTGAATGATGTTGAAAATCACCAGTGCCTGGTGGTCCTCAGTAGGCTGTTATCAGAACAGCAGATTGCAACCAATGCTTTGGCTTCTCAAAGACTGAGAAGAAAATGTTTGGCAATGTATATCGATTCCATGTGTGGCTCTTCAGTGAGGAACAATCTGGCAAAAAGATGTAACTGAAAACACCTCTGCAGATACACTTTTTAACATGTCTACTTATTCTCTCCCATTCCCAAATACCACTAGAAAGGCCATGCTTCCTGTTCAAGCTCTGGCAAAGCTCCCATTCGGAGGGAAGGTTTCAGGCAAGGTGCTGAACCAAACTGAAAAAGAGCACAAAAGCCCAAATTTTCCTGTAGTAAACAGCTAAACGACAGAGTTGTGTCGCAAATATCCATGAGCTACTGGCCCAAAGTTTCAGTTCTGGATTTTATTAATAGGAGACACTCATCCCATGTGTTCAAGTACATTTCAAGATTCTTGGTCACAAAGAAGAACCTGAAAGCTCGAAATGATGCTCTCAAACAGCAGAAGCTAGAACATACGAGCTACTTCTGTTTCCCCGATATAGCATGTGCGGTCCTTGCCCCAGTTTACCCCAGGCACACCATGGCAGGAGGAGAATGACAACGTGTGCTCAGTGGTAGAAGACAAATTGGAAAACAGATAGACTTTGCTTTACAATACTTCTGTTGCAATGCATGATGTTTGGCCCACTTACATCAGCACTCACACACATGGGAGTGGACTGGCATGGTTTGAAGCAGCTATCATCAGTCTGGTGATTTGAGTCTATCGCATTTTGAAAAGCTGAATGTGGGAAGTAAAACCTGATCCATGTGCTCCTTCTTGCTCAAAATGGGATTTCCCCACTTCCTGCCCTTTCTCAGGCTTGGCACTAGACCTTGTCCAAGGGGGCACTATCATGGCAGCATGCAGCTTTCAACAAACAGAAGCAGAAAAATCCTGAGCTTCATTTAACTTTTGCTTCTTTTATAACGATTTTGAAGCAACTTCCTCATTGTACCTCAGGAGAAAGCAAAAAAAAAAGCACGGGTAAGACTTCAGGTAAAGCTACAAAATATGTTTAACATCCAACTGTAAGGATATGGGGGGTGAGCGAGGAGGGCTCAGGAGAAGGGGTCACAATTTGATGTTTCACTTTTATGTTTTCTTAATATTTTCCATATGTAGGAGAGATCAAGGACAGGCACAGAACTGCAGTGCCAAGCAGCTAGCAATGCAATTGCACAACATTGCATTAAAAGTTCTCAGATGTTCTTGAAAAAATCTGCAAGGCAACAAAAAAAAAACGGAGAGGAGGGCAGGAAAAAACGAGGCTGTGAAATAAAAAAGAAAGATGCAATTAGTACTAATGTCACTAATGCTGCCCTTGACAGCATTTTCTGACATAAATGGAGCTTGCAATATACATTTCCCAACCAAGACCTTTATTATGGTTCTCCTCAGATCAGATTTCGGTGCTGAAAACTGTCAGCGCGACAACTGCTCACTGTCAACCTGGACACTTACATCTTTCCAGGCTAAAAAAGGGGTCATTCTTACTGTAGCAGCTTTCCTACCTTCCAAACTGCACTCTGAAGGAGATTTTAAATTGATAGCTACAAGAAAATACAGCATAAACTGTTGTTTTCAAATGCTCTTTGTTTTATGAATCCATTTGCAGCATAGAGTGGAAGGTAATTGTGTGTGAGGTACATTAATTTTTGCACAGTTTCTAATGAGAAGCTTATGGTTGGCTTATTTCATAGCATTAATTATAATATAAGACACTAAAAGTAATTTAAGTTGCCTCTCCAGCTACAAAGGAGTCCTGTTCTTCTTTTCTGGTCTATGGAAATTCGGCATGCGGAGGCATCTAATTTTGGAGGCTGTAAATCCTTCAATCCAGCATTTCTTGCACACCATAAAATATGACCTCTATTATCATTATCATTATCATTAACTGTCTTGCCTTTAGCATGAAAAATGCAATCCTATTGCATCCTATGGGCTATTTGTCCTTTAAAGCATCATGGCTCATGCTGTCTAGGACTGGACACTTGACCAGCTTGTGAAAGCTGTGGCTGCTGACCTTGAACTGTGGTGACAAATAAGCTAACCCTGAGGCTGTGGCAGGCAGGATGGGTGGCACAAGGACAACTTAGCATGAAAAGTCACCCTGCCAACAAAGTGTTTGGCAAAGTAACACCTGTACTACAACCTGTCTTATGACACTGCTGTTCTTGGGGTTTGAAACAGGTCTAGTTTCCTGTCCAAGAGTTTTTCTCTCAGTACAACAGGAAGCAGCACTCCCAGTGCCTCATGGTTTCTACGCTGGGACACTGTTTAGAGTGGTAGAGATGGGAAGCATGTCATTTCTTGGCCAAGGCAGATCTACAGAAGAAACTTGAGCAGAAAAATATTGGTTTTCTAAATGAGCTGAAGAGACCTTTCATGATGTACAACTTGACAGAAATGCACAGGAGGCCGCAGAAGAACACTGCATGGGTATTGTGGCAGAACAAGGGAGAGCTGTACTTTGTAAAACAGGGAATAGATAGGTGTGACAAGCAGAATAAAACATTTCTCTTGGAACAAGGGAGGAGGGAATCTATACATTCCAGAGTACTGAGCAGAAAGAAGAAAGGGAATCACAGAATCATTCAGGCTGGAATAAACCTCTGAGACCATCTAGTCCAACCATGAGCCCATCTCTCCATGTACCTCAGTGCCACATCTACACACGATCGTTCACTGCCTCCTGTAATGCAAGAACACGGGGAACCTGTGCTGAAAAAGGTAGCATGATGAATATGAACAAGTGACTCAAATAGGAATTAGACAAGTCCATGGAAGTTAAATCCATCAAAGGGAAGAAAATACAAAGAAACTCCCAGAGAATCAGATAGTCCTTGACTTGTCAAGCAAGCACACCTTGATGTTTTGCCCTGTTTTTACACTCTTCTCTGCGCACTGCTGTTGCCACTGTCAGATCCTTGGCAGCACAGATCTTTGCCCTAAGCCAAACATGACTGCATTTCTGTTTTGAAGAATTTTTACTATTTGTATCCATAACTTAACTGCTGTGGGAGTTACATGAAGCTACCACAATGTACATCCAAACCAGGCAGTTTGCTGCTCTTGCTGACTGCCAGAACCTCATGCAATCAGTGAGAACGTACCTCAACCAACACAGCTGCCATGTATGCCCCTTTGAGAGAGAACAGGGACAAAAGCAACTGTCTGAAAATAATAACACTTTATTTGATTTTTTTTTTTTTTTTTTGTTACATTATCATAAATGCTCTCTATTCTCAGAAAACAAAGCCCTAGTTTGGAAAATAATGCACTTACAAATCTCTTACGGGTATTAAGTATACAGAAATATACAAAGATTTCTCTATTGTTGTAATATATCATCAGAATGTCCCACATCCCACATTTTTACTCAGGTTCACCGTACCAGTAAGCGTAAACTACAAAGGTAACAAGCAACCTGAAAAAAGACATGGCTGATATAATTACATATATGTATATATATATATCTACAACAGTGCAAATATATCACAGCGTGCAGGCAGCAGTAGTCTCTAGAGAAGCATAATAAAACTGATTCATAGTAATGCAAATGCATTACAGAAACAAGAGACAACAATGACATTCGATATACAGAATATGCACACTTCAGCACGCTGATTTAAAACGATGCTTGCATTGACTCTTGCTTTAAAAACAAAAGAAAAAATATTAAATATTTCAATTATAGATTCAAGGGCAGTATCTCACAATAAGGTCAACTGACTCAGATTAAGTAATGAACAAATCTGTACCACTACAGGTAAGAGTTTGGCTACACTGCAGGACTTGTTTTCTTGATAGATATATCACATGTTCTATTTCCTTAAATTTCATTTACTTTTATTGTAAATGAGGAGCATTTGTTCCATATTCTTTTTCAGAGTTGCTCAACAACTTTGAGAAGCAGTAAACCTGCTTCTTAAAGTGAAATAGAAGAGTCTGTATAATAACACTAAACAGGTTACCAAAATAATTTAAACTAGGGTCAAAAAAAAGACATCACAGATGTCAACAGCAATGTTAAAGATTCCCATGTCACCTTATGATCTGCATAAAAAGACCCATTGTAGATTTTTCTTTTCTTCTTGAAAGAGAGAAGCACACCCTTAGATCCAGACTGTTTGGCATTCTGTAGCCCAAAGAAATCTACAAATGACTGTGCTCCTCCTCAAACTACTTTGCTCTATACTCCAGAAGCTCACTGTAATCACCCATGTGGGCAACAACCATTATCTAGCAAGGAGGACACACGCAACTGGTTCATGTGGCCTGAGCTGTACAGCAGCCTCCAGAAAGAAAATGGATCAACAAAATCTTGGTGAACGTTGAAGGCATAAACAATGTCCAGAATGCAGGCTGAGTTATGGGAATTCTTTTTGCAAAAGGATTCATATTTTCCTTGGTCATCCTTTGTTTTACATTTCTTGTAATGACTCTCAATAGAATTCTAAATCTCTGTGAGGAAGCTTCTACAACTGACAAATACATAAAGTTACGGTTTATTGTAGGATTTCAAAGTAATAAAAAACTTAAAGGAAGCTTGTAAACAGGAGAGAAAAACTTTTTTTTACATGGGTAGTAGGCCAAGGGGGAACGGTTTTAAACTAAAAGAAGGGAGATTTAGATTAGATGTCAGGAGGAAATTTTTCACTCAGAGGGCGGTGAGTCGCTGGCACAGCTGCCCAGAGAAGCTGTGGTGCCCCATCCCCGAGGTGCTCAAGGCCAGGTTGGATGGGGCCCTGGGCAGCTGAGCTGGTGGGGGGCAGCCCTGCCCATGGCAGGGGTTGGGGTGGGTGGGCTTTGAGCTCCCTTCCCACCCAAACCATTCTGTGATTCTAGGACAGGACAGTAGGAACTGATCCCTGAAAATGCTACTGCCTCTGTCCAATCGCAAAGCCCATGATTAATGTCAGTGGCACCCAGCACTTAAGCGCTCACTAGTGCTGCGTGGCACAATCAGTAAGACCTGTGTCATGAACTCAGCAACGATCAGCCTGTCATAGACTGTTACAAAGGATGTGACACAGTGTCATCTTCTGCCTACTCTTTGTTCCCAACAGCTTTTCAAAATGCCTTTGTGATTGTTGTATCTTATTAATGGATTTCCATATAGAACTAGAAGAAAGTAACTCCTGAGTAATCGCACCCTTTTGGGGTGTTGGGTAGGAACACAGATACAATAAGATCATTTGGTCTCAAATGAAAAAGAACAACCTTTGGGACATTATCTCTGCATCTACCACTGAGATGCCCTCTGCAGAAATCCAGATCAATTACCCACCAAGTCACCCTGCTCTAGGGGAGTCTGAAGTCAGATCATGCTAAAACTAACCCTGAAGTTTTTTTTTAACATTCTTGCTTCTGGCAGGGATTTTGCTGTCCTGCGTGAATATTAAAGGTAAGAATAATTCTAGCAGAGCTCAAGAGTGAAATCCACTGCATCTGATAAGACATTCTGCAGTGCTGGGGGGGTCTTGCCATTAGGCAGGACAAATACAAACAGCCCTCTTCTCCACCAAGCCACCAGGTGGGATGGACCTACAGCTCAGTGAGTAAAGGCAATGTGGAAGAAGGCGCAGAGGCTGCAGAAAGAATTACTAATGTCATTTTCACTCTTCTCACATGCATTTTGTGAGGATCTCTGGAAACATCGCTGCCCACCTTAGGTCCCTCCTTCTGCCCTTTTTGTATTGGTCCTGAATATAAATGTCACGTGGCAGGTGACAAAAGAGGGAAATTGTATTTCAATAAAATCTAATGCTGAAAAATAATTAAGAACTCTTCCTTCTTAGTTTGGAAAGAACAAATAAACACTGGCAGTTTTAGTATGCAGAGCACTCCTGGATTGGCATTTCTGGTGCAGAAAGAAAAGAATAGAAACATTGTTTTTCCTTATCAAAATTATGCAGATAATAAAAGCTATTATGCAAACCCAAACTAAAAGTACTACAGGAAAACATACACTCCTCTCTATGCTCTATTTTAACTCTCCTTTGCCCCGAATATTTTTTGGTTCAAAAAGATTAATTCAAGATCACTGTAATCACCCAGCAACTAACCTAAAGCAAATTGACTTTTTGCTATAGTCTCTGAGTGTGTTCACACAGCCAACATCTCAGTTTTCCTGTGCAATACAGCCCTCAACCAGCAAAGCACTCAAGCCTGGACTTTATTTTAGAGATATCAGTCATTACTTTGATTCATGAAACAATACAGATGTGAGGAGTTATTAACACAGATAATTACTTCTTTGGAAAAAGCTTTGGAGTAACCCATTAGAGCAGAATGCATCCATCTAAGGCTGAGTACATCACACAGATAAGATGTCCTTGTGAGAATCACTGCAGTGGTGCTACACATCAGGGTGCACTACCACACTTTGTTTCAAAAATAAATGCTTAACATACCATTAATTTTTTTTTTTGTCAACACAGACACTGGCACAAAAGAGTAGACTGAAATAGCTGTCATCTGATACACCCCGTTTTCAGACTCAAGTAGTCATTATCTCACACATAATTATCTCTGTCTTTAATGTGCATATATGCTCCTTCAATAAGAAAAGAGATAGTTGGGGTTTCAAATGTTAAGAATCGCATAGGAAGTCAGCACCAGATATTTTTTCCACTACTCCCTTTGACCCATAAAGATGACATTTTCTCAATTTTTTATCTGAGTAGCAACCGTTTTCCAAATCGCTTATTTCATCGTAAATAAAAGAAAAAATTACTCCTGAAAACTTCCAGATTATATGCAGGTTTCAGCAAAAAAAAAAAAAGAAAAAAAGAAAAAAATTGAAGCATAAAGTCTTAACTGATGCACATAATAACCAAAATAACATAAAAATAAATAAACAAAAATGAAACAAGGAAGCCAACAGAACGCTAAAGACTTCTAGTAATCACAACAGCAATCACAGGTCCAGTCTACAAGAAACCATTTAAAAACATTTGTGCCTTGTGCAATTTTTAAATGGATTGCAACAGGTCTGAATGGTAATAATAGCATTGATTTCAACATGTTTATGGCTATTTATACACAGTTATAAAAATAGACTTTTTGAAGTGTTTAGTTTCTTGCTGGCCTCATCTTTTTTTCAGCATGAAGCTCCCAGAGGTTGGCAAAGTGTTTGCTCAGTTCACTAACACAGGAATGCATTTTATCCTAGCCTGTTAGAGCTTATTTCTGCAAAACAATAGAAAGGCCAAACAGAATCTGTGTTAAAGGACTTTACAGCTTAAAAACACACAATTGGGATGCACTTCAAATACTTCTGTCCCACAGTAACATCAAGGGATGTCATTAGTTAATTTTAGCACCAAGGCAGGAAAGAATGATTATCTCATCTGTGGGTAGAGCTGGCTTCAAGAGAATTCATTTATTTCTTTATTGGAATACTACAGCCTGAAAGTGTTGCTCAGAATAGTAACTTTCAGCTAAATTCTGCCAGCAGATGGCTGGGAAGAAGCACAGCTAATAAAAGGAGTGACAGAAATATTCTGGAGCATCTATTTTCTTAGGAACACCCACAGAGGATCAGATTTTTGGCTACCATCATACAATATATCATTACAGTGCAGAAGGATATACTGCAGACTAAAGAGCTAAAATAAAATCTACCAACAGAGGAACAAGCACACACAGACAAGACAGTGTTCAAGGTGCCCATATTACTAAATAAGGTTAGACAGGAGAAGACAGCACCGCCCTCATCTAAGTGTAGAAATATCAGTTTTATCAGCAAGGTTATTTCATTTGATAAACTGCAGGTGATCTTCAGTGTGCTGTTTGCTAAATGGTGTTGGTAAACACAAAACTTAAACCCTGACCTGATTTAATGATGTGGATGTCATTTATTCATACTCAGCTAGCCCACAGCAAGACCATCGGTGTGCAACAAAACAGTCATCTGGTAAACCCTGTTTTTTATCTGTTTGCAAACAGTAACGGCCTGAAATACTTACAAAAATATTCTGAGAGTCTTAAGATAATCAAAGTAGGCTGTACCAAGGAATTTCAGCTTGTGACTTGTTTAATAACCGTTCACAGTTCTGAGTGTTATTTAGAGCAGCCAAAGTTCTTACTTTCTCGTAGCTAACAGCCAGGTAAACACATACCTTCTTGTTAGCATGCCTGGAAATGCTGTGGAGCTGTACAAAAGCTCTATTAGCTTCAGGGATATTTTAAGAAAAGAAAAAAAAAACAAAAAAAAAACAGCAAAAAACCCATGCAGATTGTACAAGGATTTTTTTTTTTTTCTTTTAAAGTAAAGATTAACCTTGCTTTCACAGGCCAACCTTACTTCCAGGGAATGTTCAGCTACCATTCCTAAAATGCGTGAAAAGCCTTCAGCCTTCTGGAACACTGGCTTAACTCAAGTATGCTGATTTTAATAGGTATACACAGTCTGTGTCTGCACCAGTAAATTAAAGACAGTCTGGGCATGGGTAAGGAAAACTAACAAACTGTCTTCACTGAGAAATGAATGGTAGAGTTGTCGCCCAACACAACCCAAGGTTTTTCAGAAAGCATTTGAAGTTAGCATAGGGCAGAGATTGTTCCTAGAAGACCCAGTTGTTTGAGGATTAACAAGACAGCAGATTGTGCAAACTGGCCTAAAGGCCAGAGATCAGATTCTAGCATTATTTAGTTAACTAGTAAAGATGTAGCTGTGAAGTCCTCAAACATAGTCTGTGAACTGTAATTGATGATGAGCAGATGAACAAGGTCTTAATCTACTCTACCATTATGAATTACTGAGCTCCTGAGTGGTTTGCTGTCACTGAGCTGCTTCCAGTCTACAAGACTTCAGCACCCTGTTAGGAATAATGCATTTGTAGAATGTGTAGTTCTGGCTCAGATATCTACGACTCTTAGGTAAATGGACAATAACTGCAGAAGGTACTGGAATTCACAAAGAATTTCATCAGGGCGTCCAACACGGGCATGAGTGCCATGCTATCATTTTGGGTTGCCAATCTATACCCATGAAAATTAGTAACAAAATTTGTAACAACTTAGTGTCAGAATTCCCCAACAAGTTTACAAAGGTGAGATATACAAAACAAATGCATGCCTCTTGCAATAGTTTCATAGGTGTTTAGATCAATTTGCTGTTAATTTTCATTTCACTTACGTAGACTTTTGGATGCAAACAAAACTGCTTGGCCTGCAGTGTTACAAAGCCCTTTGCATAATCTGAACAGACTCCTACAAGTCATTTTTAACTAGCATTTCAAACACTGACATACAAGGCAGTCGGAAGTGGTTTAACACAATACTCCAAGCTCTGAACTATAGATAGGTCTTGGACTCCATCAGACGATTTCTTAGACTTTAGGGACAGATTCTGCTTTCATAATTTAAGAAAAAATGAGCCTTGGAGCGCTTTGATCTTTTCATTCACAGGAGGTAGATCAAACAGATAAGGAGCAGTATCAGTATTTTCAAGATAACAAATCTTTAGGATTTAAAAGACACTGCAAAAGAATGTATTTTCAATCATTCAGCAGTAGCTTGAACATGTCTGTGCTATCTATTGCTGCTTCCAAATATGGATCACAGACTTAGCGCAGACTCAGAATCTGCCCTGTCCTCCTATCATGACAATTTTCAGATATGAGACCAGCTCGACAAGTAAAGCACCAGAATTCTACATTTAAACAGAAACAAAAATAATGACTTGAATCATTTTAGACTTTTCTTTTTCTGTTTTTAAAAAGTACCCATATCAAAAAGATGCCTTTTCCTTATTATTACAGTTACAGATTTTTGGCCAGTAGGGGTAATGCCATGGAAAACAACTGCAAAATAATACATAGAAAACCACGACAATGAAACTCTCGAATTTAAAAAGATGAGATAATCCTATTTTCTTTGCATTTCTCATTTTGCATTTCGTTATCTTGTCACCTACAGATGACATTATACTATTCTGGCTACCAGGACTTGAATTACCTTATCGCATAATTGGTTTTCAGAAAGAAATTTCCTGCAACCAGTTTTGTTTTTTTTTTTAATTACAGTTACACTGTCTCAGTATTGAAATTCTGTGTTGTAAAATTCCCTTCTATTTCTTCTTCCTGGTTAAAGCTAGAAAGTGTAATGAAAACATGACCCAACCCAACTGGACTGATTGACGTAACACTATATGTCTTCTATCCCAGTGTGGTTCTCTATGGGCTAGGTCATAACAGCATCTAGCTGGGCACTGGAGACGGGCCTGCCACAGTGAGACAATGTCAACTGCCCTCTACTGCATGTCTAAAGATCTTCCTACTGCATCATTTTGGTTGTTTTTCCTCTACCTCTCTGCCCGGATTTTGTATCTGAGAACAAAATAGGCAATTAGACGCAGAGAGAAGAAGAAAATTCCGAGAACAATGAAGTCCAGGTAGAGTTTGGCATTTTCTACATCCAGTTCTCTCAGAATGGCCTCTGATTTTTGAAAATGGCAAGTATCATCTTTATCACAATGCAGATCTTCTCGATCCAGTCCATAGATTGAGAGAATAACTCCTTCGAACCCGTATCTGGAAAGAAGAAGAGTGGATCATAATGTAAAATGTTGATGATCTGTTTAGAAGTGCTCCCATTGAAATATACTCTCTATAAGAGCTTGGATGGAAACACTGATGAGTTTGTTACTGTTCTGATGTTTGTCCCAAGGTAAATTCTATCCTTATTGCAATAAAGCAAATGACATGCCACTGGTAATTTATATGCGACTTCTCAAAAAGGAGAATGTTAAAATAGAAAGCAGGTAAACTTCAGCTCATATTCAGATTCTCCTTTTAAGAGTGATATAATTAATTCAATTTTTAAACTAAGCAACGGGGATACAAGTATGGTCTGTAGTCAGAAATATATTAAAACTAATATAAATCTAGAATGTTTCTTCTTTTTCCTTACAAGTACCACAGTTTCAGTAATTAATAAGCACAGTTCCCATGTTTCCCCTGAAACCAGACGCACTTAAGATTTTACTCTATGAGCAGATAAGTTATCACAGTTCCCATGCATTTGATAGCTACCTTCAGCTCCAGGAAACCCTAGGCAGGCTGGACGATGACTTAAGGCCTCATCTTGAATTCTAGCTTAACTAATTCAGGGGGTGCAGTCTCTTTATCAATGATGGGTCTTTGTGTAAGACATCATTAGACAAATGAAAGCATATTCAGTTTGAGTTTTCTTAGTAATACTGCAGTATGGGCAGGGTGAGGAGAAGGGAGTGAGCAAAGTGGGTACCACCTAGAAACCTATTTCCTCATACTAAAGGGGACTACACATACACAAGCCATACACAAAATGATAGTCAAAACATTTCTTACTAAGATGCACTTTAGCTCCTTCTGCAACATCTACTTCCTAATCACTTCATCTGATTTCGAAGAAAACCTTTTCATAATCATCATGGGAATTCACCATTTAATTTTAGCCATAAATATTTAGGTGTCCAGTCCAGACTAGTTTGCTGCCTCCAGAGGTTTCCTGATGACAATCAGACCATAAGATAACTGTCTCAAGTAGAGCGTGACTGACATAGATAGGATGTAACATGCCTATGCCTATAAACTCTTGAGCAAAGAATTCAGATTAGCGATGACAAAAATCCTATGCCTCTTTGCTACTGCAAAATTTAAAGAAAACAATGCTTTGTCCAACAAGGCTACCTAGGATACAGCAGTGACTTATACATAATTTCCTTCTGAAATGTGGTGCTGACAACAGTTTCTCAACAATTTTGGGTATACCGCCTTTATATCACAAAGTCCAAGGAGATTTGGATGCTGTGCAATCCAGAGTACTTTCACAAGTACTTAACAGACTTGTGGCCAAGGATCCATACCAAATATTCCTGTTTACTTCACAGTAAAAACAAAATAAAATGAAGTGAGGTAATGTGGCATTCATTTACATTATGTATACGTCTATACTTCAAAAGAACGTCTTTTGAACATAGCCTTCTTGGTGTCCAAAATAACCAAACGATCATATAAGTAGCTTTTCTAAAATGGGAAATTAATGGACTCCCTAGCAGTACCTGACATAGGAAATGTAGGACATCCACTGGAGGTATGTTGGGATGGTATCAAAGCTGACAAAAAACCCAGAAAACAGAAGCACTGGAATGGCAGTAACCGGACCCACAAAAGTGGCTACCTGGGAAGAGAAGGAATAGGCAGATTCTTGTCAGACAGAGAAAAAACTAAAAATTAACTTGCTCTTTCATCTGATGTCCAGATTTCAAGTTAGGAAACCAGACTGTCAAATAGCACTTCTCTTACAAAAATCCTGGTTTTTGTGCCAAACCAAACAGACAGTGAAATTCTACTCTCTGAGGCAGTGAAGAGTTCTACCATTCGACTTGAATGCTACTTCATTAAATAGTTAGAGTTTCAAATGCCAATTACTGAATTTTTTGGACAAAGTTCCTTAGAGGCAAGTTAACATTTAGTAGAGGAAAATGGGTCCTCTCATCTTCCTAAAACTTGTTCCTACATTGCTGCTTCAGGATCCATCCTTTGAAGGACTTAAACCCACCACAAATTTACAGAGCAAGACGTACACTAGAATTCCTTTGATACTCAGTGTAAGTGACCCCTCTTCCTCATTGTTTGACAGATCAGCAGACACACAGTCCTCCTTCTCATTAATCCCACACGCAAAGCAGTTTCAACCGGTTCTAAAATTTGATGAAGGTGGTAAAAATGATTTCCAATTGAATGGCTTTGTTGAGGAAGACAGGTATTGGCCCATCTCCAGCCTCTCCTCTCTACATCTCCTCTAGGACAAAGGGTCATACAGGTACCTCTGGTGAAAGCAGAAGAACAGAGGTAGAAAAGGGTTTTGCTCATTTCCACAGGATGGTACAGAGTAAACCAAGATTTCAACTTCAGAAAACTTCACACTATCAGTGCATATTAGTATCAATGTAACATGTTGAAACAGGCACCACAGAACATTTCTGTTGTGAATTATCGCTTCATCAATCTCTGTGCCAGGAAGCAAAATGGAGTTACATGGCTAGCTTCCAGCCGCCTGACAGTCACGCCAACAGCTGCTTCTTGCCCTCCTTCTGCAGAAGTTTAATGTCTGGTCAATCTTTTTTCTACCCTTCCACCTGCAACCTTGCATGCGTGTGGAAGAACCCCATCCTGAGCTACTGATCTCCATGGCCAACCTGCATTCTGTATATACATCAGTCCTCCTCAGCCAGGGATAAATACCAAAATACAATCCGCTCAAGCAGGCACAGCCCATTCAGATCTGGTAGCAAGAAGCATCAAGTAGCTATATCAGGCAAAGAGAACTTTTTGCTTATCTTCTTTTAACCAATATCTTGGGACACAACAACATCCACAGTAAGCAATCAGTTCTAGGAGATATCTAGGAGATTGTGAAATCAACAAATGCCATTGGTACCTGGAGAGATGTAGAGGCTGCTCCTATGAGAAGACCCAGTGACTGTGCCACCAGGGATGTCATGGTTCCTAAGGCTGCAAAGAGGACAAATCGGAGTGCATCAGATGGCTGTGAAGTCATCCAGTACACGATGCTGCAATAAGCTACAGGAAACATGATCTGCAAGGAGATATACTTGTAGTTAGTCTGTTGAAGCCTAACGTTCAGTTTTACTCTGAATAAGATAAAAACATAGGGAGACCTAGTTAATCCATAGCTCTCAGTCTTTACATGTTACATGACACACATGGTGTTCAGCTGAGAAAAACGAATTAATCTGCCGCAAGCCGTAATATCTATCATGCTACTGTGTTTTAGACAACAAATCCCGCACACTTACATCCCGTTTCAATTTCTCTTTACATAACATCAAAAACGGTAATTTTTTAATTAAAACAATACTATGTCAGATGAGGGCATACTATTATCAAGATGCTTTTTATCTGAACCTGAGGCTAAGGCACACACATGATAACTTTCTTCATCACTCAGATAAAATACTGTTACTGATCTTCTCAGCAAGTGGACTTGCCGTGAGTTTAAAATGGTTCTTATTTCATTGAAGAGTAGCACATATACCTGAAAAGGAACATCAGCCATTGTTTTGGCAAGATAGTAGGCTTTCAGGCTGTACCAGTAGTTCAGGTGCTCTCTAAGAAACACACCCATCTCAAGAGGAACTACAGAAAATACAAATAAAGGTAGGTAGGTTGTCAGTGTATAATATTATTCCACATAGTAACAAATCTAATAATATTATATAATAACAACATAATTCTTAACTGCTGTAGTCTGACAGGGGGACTGGAACTCAAATACCTTTGACAGACCAGCAATAGTTTCAAGATTTATAATGAAATGTGAGAAGTCTACCCTGAGAATTGCTAACTGTTGAGAATATTTACTGGGTTACTCAAATGATTTGAACTCTCCTCTAAGAGGCTTTTTAAAATAAAAAGAATTTCAAAGCCTAAAGGACCTGGTTATTCCTTTTGGTACAAAGGCAAATCCGAAGTAACAGTGCTCCCAGAAGAAGTACGGAACAGTTTGTTTCAGATATCACATGACTATACTGATTTCATGCAGCAGTCATGACTTAGAAGTCCTAGGGAAATTAGCATAGTTCTTCTAAGATTAAAAAAAACCATATCTTAACAAAGCAGAGATACACTGGCACATTAGGAAAAGGAGTAATTCCAGTCCAAGATTGTAATAATAGACTGTGAGAGTTGAGAACTGCTTGCAGAACTGTGGAGAGAAGTCTGTCCCTGTTAGATTCTACACAGCAGTTAGTGAGAACAAGCTTCACCCTAAAGCCTGTCTTAGAATTGGAAGCACAATCAAATGTCATGGTACATGAAATAGATACACTGCCCTTCCAACTTGTTGCAATCTCCTTGTTCTTTAATTTAAGAGTATGACTGGTACTCACATGTAAGGACGGTTGGCATGAGTGCAGCAAACATAAGAAACAACATGGAAAAAAAGAGGAAGCCAGAATTGCTGAGAACCTTCTTAGCTTCATTGCCAATGCCTAAGTAGAGCAAGCCAATAAGCAGACCGATTCCAATGTGAGAGGTGATACGCAAATGTGTTAGGACCTATAAGCAAGGAAACAGAAGTATTTCTGATCAGAAAGTCTGAGTTCAAAAACAACAGAAATATGACTGAAATCAGATATACAGCATGCAGAAAAATAATAATTATGTCCAGAAGAACAAATATAGGAATGTTCACTTTCTACTAGGAAACTGGGTCTCAGCTAAGGAAAAGTTACATTAATGAACTTTCTAGTGTGAATCAGACCCCAGGCTATTAGTCCAGATAATTTCTTCCAATAAACAAAAGCAGAAATTGTAAATGTTGCAACCTGAAATCCTATTGTCAGATAGTGTCATGTAGCAATTTTCCCTCACGTACCAGGAGACTTTCTCACTATAAGACAGACGTCCCTGAGCAGATAAAAGTGGTAAGACAAGGGAGAAAGAAAAGAGTTTTGTTTGTTTGTTTGTTTTGTATAGACCAAATGAACTTAATCAGGCACACATAAGCCTTTTGTGGCTTCTCGGCAAGACAGTAGTTCTACAAGTGACATGGATGAATAAAGAAAAGTATGGAAAACCTGCAATAATTATTAAAAACAACACTGTTTCTCTATCTAAGTATCCTAAAATAAGCCACAGTTTCCCCTAGATCGAGATGAGGAGAAGTTTCTATGATCAATGGTTACAGTTTGTACACCTTGGAGATACACTCTCCACAGAGGCATTCCACTGACTAGCTGACATGAAGCTGCATGTATGCTTTGTTTTTTAACACATCTCCCATGTGAACACGTCAGTGTATTTTGGACTGAGTATTTGGTGATGTGCAAACTAGCACACATTACAGAAAGACAACATTCAACAACCTCATTGACCTTTTAATGATAAATGCACTATAATATAAAACAACAGCAAGGGACAATAATGCGAGATGACAAATAAACACACTGGTAAAGCAACCAACGGGCACAGAATCACAGAATCAGAGTGGCTTGGGTTGGAATGGATCCCAATGATCATCAAGTTCCAACCCCTGTCTGTGGTAGGGTCACCAACCTCCAGATCTGATAGTAGGTCAGACTGCCCAGGGCCCCATCCAACCTTGTCTTGAATACCTGCAGGGCCGGAGCATCCACAACCTCTCTGGGAATCCTATGTCAGCACCTCACCACTCTCAACATAACATATATGGTCTGGACATAACATATATGGTCTGGACATAACATATATGGTCTGGAAATAAGACGCTTCCTAACCACTGTGACAACATGGTTCTGCCATATCTTCCCAACTACCATATTATGGAAAACAGCTCCTTGCTTTTACTGTAACAGTCAGTGTAGTGTTTCTCTTTCTAAAAAAGATGTAACACTTGTTATCTGACAGTGGAGGCCTGGACACAGAGTCCCAGTAGATTTCTTCCTAGCCTTTAGTTCTGTGTACATGTCTATACTGTAAACTATTGTGTCCTAAAGAGCTACTTCCTTAGGTGTGGGGCAAGAGCAGCACAGTCACAGCATCTGGAGCTCAGTGAAACTCAGCTTACTCTGTTGCAAGAGTAATTTACTCATGCTGAGCTCCATCTGGCTCAAGCACTTTTGTGTTTCTAACTACCTCATGCATAATACATTTTATGGCTTTCCCCTTTCTTAAAGACAGGTATATCTAATTAATGTGTTGCATTAGTGTCTATGCTGTCTTTTCTCCTCTCATGAGAAGCACTGAAAACCCTCCAAAACAGAAAAAGCAGCGAACAAACCTTCCTCAGATTTATCAGATTGCAAATCTGTCACTGAGAAAACCACTTGGACAAGGACACTTCACAGTGAGGAGTCCCTTGGACAAGTTTTTACATAAAGTCTACTTTTGAGGAAGCTCATCTCCTTAACTTGTGCCTGTTAGTAGAGGGACACTCATATCTAGAGGACCTTTCAAAGCAGGAGCATCGATCACAAGTGTAAATACTCCTATCTCTCAAATTCACGAACAATTCAGCTACTTCAAGATAAGAAAGACTTTTCTGAGTTTAAAAAAATGTCCCTTTACATTTTGCTAATGCAAACTATCTCTGCAAAACATTTAATAAACTTACAAGAAAACTGCAGGCCTGGGAACTTTGAAGGAATTTATTTTCAGAAAAAGGTGAAAAATACTTTTTTTTTCCCCTGTGAATAAAGAGTTTCATTTTGATACTTACTCCATTGTAAGTGAATGGAAACAAGTATTTCCTTTTCACATAAGCAAGTATAAAAATCATTTACTGATTTTATGTTTCAGGAGCAAAAAGAAAGATTTTAAGCATTAACTTTACATTACACTGAAATTGTATCTCTGTCACCTTGAATAGTCTGAAGAGACAATAATTTTCTGGCATACCAGTACACCATCATTACCACTTTTTAAAAAGATAAATATTTGCATAAGTAACTTGCCAGCACAGAGAAAATTTCAGCTTTAGGTTTGTAGCCCAAATGCGTTTGAATTCTACTGAAGAAAACTGCTGTTCACAATTAAGGTGGTACAATTAATAGCAATACTGAAAGAGAAGCGTCTTTACTTCAAAGTTCATTGTCAATCTTCATGCATGGGCTGTGGACAAGACTCTTAAAGCATATTTATAATGTCTTACAACTAACTGAATAAACCTTTAGGCTCCAAAGGTACTATCAAGGCAGACTTACTGAATCCCTCATGATGGTGAGAAAAGTTCTTTTGAAGAGGATACAAAATTGGGTTAGGCAGCTGGCGGAGAAGCTGTGGCAGCCTTCTGTGGAGGAGGAATCCTGCGGAAACACATGAAAGAATAAACTCCTTTCTTTGCAGTGTCTTGCTTAGTTTTCTTTCACAAAACCCCATTATCGTCAGCTGAATGTGCCCCAAAACTCCTCAATTGACTGAGGATTTTAAATTCTCTTCCTCCCTCTCCAACCTCAAGCCATACCCATTACTTGCGATATATGAAATACCTCTTCAGAGGGCCGGTGCCAGAGAAAGGGATTCAACTCATTCTCACCACCAACATCTCTCTTGTAGTCTGTGTCACAAATCCTCTCCCGTACTGCCCTTACCAGTCGGCTGTTCTGGTCTCCATATTCACCAGATGCTACTTCCATAACTACGTAAATCAGAAGATGAGTTACTGGTTTATACTATGGGTTAGTTACAGGCCTTATTACTAGGTTCCCTTGATTCCGTAGCATTAATAGTTGTAGGAGTTTGTTTTTAAAAGGGCTCTAATCTAAATTCATGTGCATACATATATAATTTAAGTGCATTTTTCTATACATCTTCAGAAAATTCACTTGATCTTCATAGTTAAATGAACCGTTTTAGATGAAAAGTAGTAAATATGAAACAGTATTGGTAATCAAAAGTGACAAATGCCTATTTTGTGGTCTTCAGTTCATTTTTGGAATTAAGAACAAAAGAAAAATCTCAATTCTATCAGCTGTATGGTATACGGTATTGTTCATGAAAAACAAAACAAAAAAAACAAACAAAACAGAAAAACAAACAAATCCAAAATACTAGAATATTGGAGTCACTTTGAAAAATCCCTGTGATTAAATTACTATGAAATACAAAATGATATGTTTAACCTTTTATTTCATGAACCTGCACTTCTATCAGAGAGAAACAGTCACTAAATTCGGCCACCAGATGGCATTCAAATTGCTTAGAAATAATCCAATTGATTTTAATTCCAGTTTTGGTACATATATGTACACAGAAACATATGTATACATGTACAAAAGTATAAACTGCACCATGATTCCCCTTATCCTGAAGGTGCTAGCCAAACACAAAACAAATTATTCAAACTTTCCTTACCAAAATCTGCAGGATTGTGATAGGTTGGACAATTCAAACCCAAATCTCTTAAGTAAGGGACAAGGTTTAATACTTTTCCCCGGTAAATACATTGACCTTGACTTAAAACATAGAGCTGAAATACAAGGCAAAGAAAAGAGAATCACAACATGAAATCATATAATAATATTTGAACATCCTAACTGTATGACAGCAAACCATGAACACAACATATTCTTGTAGGCCCAGTCAGAGAAATATATCTGGAAGATTTGTCACCATTTGGAACTATCTTTGTATGGAATAACAACTAATGAAAGATGAAATGCTTGAGATGTGAATTCTGCAAACATTCCCTCCAGGACTTAAAGCACATTAACTCAGAAACAGGCTAATTCAAGCCTTAGACACATTTGAAATCAGATAAGAAACTGCATAACCAAGCCATCTAATTTCCATATATTATGGATCTTTTTGTTGGGAGACAAGGCTGGTGAATGTAGGAAACAGAAGAAGCAGAACAGCACAGCAACAGGAAACAGCTTGATTATCCTCACTTTTTGCTGTACTGCTGGCATTAAATAACCCCCAGCTTGCCAGACCGGTAATTTCTTGCAAGAGTTTGTTCACCTATGGTGTAGTAAGTTTTCTCTTGTCTCTGATTTAGATATCCTAAAAAGATTCAGGTAAATTTAAATCTAAAATCTAATCTAAAAGCACATGGTTCACATCTTGTTGTTAGGTTGGAGAAAAGATCTCCAACTGACTTCATTTCAATTCTTACTATCAATAAACACTTCTGAATTTACACCTGTGTAACTAAGATAAGAATGTGTACTAGTAATAACACTACAGATACCTGCAATAAAGCTCTCCTGCTCTTAAAAATTACCTCTCATTTACTTTACTGACAGCACTGTGCCCAGGAACAGTAGTAGGTGAAGGTATACAATTCTTAAGTGTGATAATCACAATTTTACAAACATACCAGCCAGATTCTTTAAAAATATTGCACTTAAACAGGAATGGAAAATGGAAACTGGCAGAGAAGAAAAAAAAAAAGAAAAAGAAAAAGAAAAAGAAAACATAATAAAACATATTTTTTACTCCAATTTATTTATGCATTTGATTTGGAACCATAGAGTTCATCTTTTTACTTAGAGAATGTAGCTTGGAAAGTATAGCCTTCCTAAACCATGTAAAAAGAGTGAGAATTATACCTGATCAAACAACTCAAAGAGTTTAGCACTGGGCTGATGAATTGTGCAGATGATGGACCGGCCACCTTGGGCTAAAGCTTTCATCAGAGAGACAACTTGAAAACATGATGCGCTATCCAAGCCGCTGAATGAGAGGAAAGAAGTCTGTTATCCATAGATCCATACACACCCCTCAGAACTAGCACACGTATTTGATACTTTGGTATCTGGCTATTATCTTCCTAGAAATTTTCTCTTTAACAGTTTAATTTTATCATATGCCAACCTTACGCTTGTATTTCTCCTTTAGTCTTTTAATTAAGTTGGAAACATGCCCAAGAATGAAAAATAGGAGTATTCTGAAAACTGCCTTAAGGGATTTCTGCATTTCAGAACTACAGATTTCAATGTGCCTAACTTTAATGAATAGATACATATTCATGGCCCTCCCAGCTTCCTCCTAAATTGATCACAGAATTTGATCCAAAATATGCTACACTTGTTATAAAAAGTTAATCTTCAAAATACTTATATTCAAGCTTATATTTTTGCTTGAAGAAGAAAGCTCACGTGATACAATCTGAAAACAATATCCTCTCTTTTCTTATTTCAGTTCATGCCTTCTTTAAATATTACTTACAGACCCATAGTCTCATGTTTGTAGAAGTGAGCCAAGGCACTAAGTACTCAAATGAAAGTATTGAGACATTATTCAGCACTTTAATGCAATACAACATGAGCCTTTTCCAATTACTTAGATGTGAATAGCTGTTCTGCAGCACTGTGCTATCATGTGAGCAACCTTAATTTTTGCCCCTGAAGTACCTGGTTGGTTCATCAAAAAACATAACAGGAGGATTGTTCACCAGCTCCAAAGCAATGGCAAGACGCTTTCTCTGGCCTCCAGATAGACTCCCAGTCCTTGTATTGGCACAGGTTAGCAAACCAAGGGCTGTCAATATTTCTTTCACCTACAGGAAGCACAACAATACAAATCATTTAAATATCTTAGCAGAAAAGAAGAGCTTCTTCACTATAGTACCAATTTTCATGGAGAAAGTAACTTAAAGTATGACTTTGTTTCACTACCTCTATATCAAAGACTATTTCCATATAATGTAGAAAAGATTAAACATTTATTAGATTCAGTGTTGCTTAACCCAGCACCAAACATTTTGACCAAAATTCTACTTGTCTGTAATGCATTATTTGTCTCAGTAGAAAGCCATTCTTGTGATAACTAGACCTTCCATAGTGTTCCTTGGATATGGTGCATATATCACAGAATCACAGAATTGTAGGGGTTGGAAGGGACCTCCAGAGATCATCGAGTCCAACCCCCCTGCCAAAGCAGGTTCCCTACACCAGGTCACACAGGTAGGCATCCAGGCAGGTCTTGAACATCTCCAGAGAAGGAGACTCCACCACCTCCCTGGGCAGCCTGTTCCAGTGCTCTGTCACCCTCAAAATATCAAAAGATCTTGGCAGTATGTGAACACTTACTACACAGCAAAACCAACAAGCTTCTTTTATAAGAACTTCTAGGCTTACAAGAGTATGGAGAACTGTATAACACAAATGAGTAGCTTCTAAAGAGACGAGCTATTCTCGTATCTGTTCTTTCAAGTCCACTCTTTCAAGTGTGGCCACTGATTCTAAGTGTTTTCATTCCCTCAGAGCCAACTGAGCTATCGTGTATTCTCAGATGTTTGGGAGTTCCTCAAGACACTGCCTCAGGAAAAGCAGTTTGTCCCAGAGTCTTTAGAACAAAGGAGAACAATCCCAGCTGCTGTGAATTTTTCTGTCTCAGTGATTGCAGATCCAGACTTGTAGCTCTATATAAGGAAAGCAACACTTTGGCATCAGTAAAAACATAGACATTAAAATGTCTGAACTCAAGAAATATGACTGCAATAAACCAACTACCAACCAGCTCTCATTCTGAGAGAAGAGCCCAACTACCTCTACCCTTAATTCTTAGGGAAGGTACTATGGAACATGGGCAACACGTGCTAAACCAACCAGAAACTTCAGAAACAAACCAGAAACTTCACTGGAGATCTTTCACTTGTCCCTGGCTGTTTTAAACAGGCATCTGTAATCTTGTTAACACAAGTGCATAAATTCATACAATTTAACTTTGACCAACATTTACCAATTTATAATAATAAAATGAATGATTTATTCCAGCACAGGCTAGCAATACTACAATGAGTGCCCTTTTAACAAGAGTTGTGCAAATGCATACAACACAGTCTTTTCCTCAAATTTCTGTTCATAATTACAGAAGAACTTGCTTGGCCTAACTTAGCAAAGGGCAAACAAATTAAGACTTTCAAAGTACAAGCGAAATAACAGTTGTTTCTGAACAAATACATTTTTCCAATTAAAAATGTGCATTTATCATATTAAGAAAAATATATTTGAGTCAACCAAAGCAATTCTAACCAATATGTTGATTCACCTACCTGTCTGGAGTTTTCTCTGAATTTCACAGATTCTCTGAGATTGAAGAGCTTTAGAATGTTCCAATTAATTAGGAAATAAATATGGATAGCAGGCAGCAATGGAAATTGCTTCTGTATCTCTGAAGATACCATTTTCATATTGTAGGCAAAGGATTTACTTTTCCCCAGATGGATCAGAGGTAGTTTCCCGTTCTCCTTCTGCATGTGGATCTTACGATCCACATGCCAGCTAAGGCCAGAGGCATCTTTTACTAGAATAAGATACTCCTCTGGAGTAGGTAAGTCCAAAAAGTCAAGTTCAGGTCTCAATCAGATGTGCAAGAATAAATCGAATAAGAAAGGTTGAGGGAACTGGGCTTGTTTAGCTGGGAGAAGAGAAGGTTCCAGGGAGACCTCACTGTGATCTTCTAGCACATGAAGGGAGTGTATAAACAGGAGGAGATATGACTGTTTATGAGGGTGGACAGTGATAGGACAAGGGGAAATGGTTTTAAAATAAGACAGGGGAGGTTTAGGTTAGATATTAGGAGGAAGTTTTCAACTCAGAGAGTGGTGACACACTGGAACAGGTTGCCTAAGCAGGCTGTGGATGCCCCATCCCTGGAGGCATTCAAGGCCAGGCTGGATGTGGCTCTGGGCAGCCTGGTCTTGTGGTTGGTGACCCTGCCCATGGCAGGGGGAGGTGAAACTAGATGTTCATTGTGGTACTTTTCAACCCAGGTCATTCTATGACTCTAAAACAGACTGGAATGTGAGGAAGAGTAGGAAGCATCTAATGCTCCTGAAACATCAGGCCACACCTTTCCAATGTGCATGCTCATCGCCTTCTTCGTTCTTCAGACTTTTGTTTCAGTTGAGCTCTGTTACATGGCTTTTTCCAGCTGCCTAAACTATTCCTAAATTCACCTGTTAAGTGTACGGTTTTGGGAGCACAAAATACACCAGAATGAAAACATGATCTTTTCTATTTATGGGGAAAAAAAAAACAAAAAAAAAAAAACTCTGAAAAGCCAAGGAAAGATTAGAACTTGAATTTTACAGGAAATACTTATCCAGAATAACATACACAGATAAAAGGAGCTGCCAGTCTTCTTGGAAAGTAGATTTTAAGTTTAGCAGTAGGACCATGTTATCACATAATCCCCATTAGCATTCACACCAACTCCCAAATAGCAGAGGTTTTTACCTTGAAAAGGCAGTGTATGAGACAGCGATTATGCAACATCTCCTTGCTTGGTGTTGTTTTACACTGGACTGAAACATAGCTTGAGGCCAGTAAAAACATTTCCAAATGCTCACTGAGCTACAGTTTCACTTTTAATGAGTCTCTCAGCAATGCAAACCACCTTTATTTTCAACAGTGCCATTATTTTTTCTTTTATTTTTAGCTGCAGGCGTAATCCTCCCCAGGTATGTACTGTTTTGAAACACACTGTGCAGCACAGAAGTGTTCCTCCCATACGCTTCAGCATGCTCTGGTAACGCCACTCAAACAGAGACAGACACCTGAGCTCTGAGTATTCTTGGGTACGTAGAGGCCCAGATTTTTAAAGTGCAGAATAAATGGGGAGACGGGGTACATTTCCAGCTCTTTGAAGTATAACTGAGGTAACCAAAGTCAGGTGAGAACACTGCCTCATAAGCTAACATGCCAGCAGCCCTTATGACTAGTCGAATACCTCCAAAACATTTTCTTTAAAAACACAGTGCTGTGTAAGATCAAATAATCAGGAGGAACTGTCATAGTCAGATAAGTGAGAGGAGCACACAGTGCAGGTTCAGGTAGGTTATAGGTCTTCACAGGCAAAAATATACCACGGCTTTTCTCTCACTCAGACAGCAACAGCCAGAAGCAAGACAGCACACCAATCGTGCAAGTGTAAACCGTGCAACTAATTCCTGGTGTTTTCAAAAAGACACATGCATGTTTTAGCCTAGCTTCCTACTTATCCAAACCTTGGACGCTTAAAAAAGCTTCAAATACATTAGCCTCTACCTTAACTGCAACTGCACGATCTTGCCTATCTGAGCAACATGATTTCAAAACCCATCCTTTCTGCTCACCAGCACAGCTACAGTGACCAAAACTTTCAAACATGGGCACAGAAATTTCTGCAGTAGTTGCAAGAACTCCTGAATTTTTCATTAACCTTTGGAAAAATGAACACTTTCTTGTTGAACACTTCAACTCCCTTGAAGCATTCAAGTGAACAAAGGCCTTCGCTCACTGTTGCCAGACATGACTGACTTATGTCACCACACACAAAATCACAGAGAATCATAGAATCACCAAGGTTGGAAAAGACCTCCACGATTGACCAGTCTAACCACCCACCTACCACCAATATCTCCCAGTAAACCATAACCTTCAGTACAACATCTAAACATTTCCTGAACACCTCCAGGGTCGGTGACTCCACCACCTCCCCAGGCAGCCCATTCCCGCACCTGACCACTCTCTCAGAGAAGTTATTTCCTAACACCCAACCTGAATTTTCCCTGGTGCAACCTGAGGCCATTCCCTCTAGTTCTATCGCTAGTTACTTGGGAGAAGAAGCTGATTTTCTCCTCATTACAACCCCCTCTCAGGTGGTTGTAGAGAGAGATACGGTCTTCCCTGGGCCTCCTCTTCTGCAGATTGAACAATCCCAGTTCCCTCAGCTGCTCCTCAGAAAACTTGTGCTCCAGACCTCTCAGCTCCATTGCCCTTCTCTGGACACACTTCAGGGCCTCCATGTCTTCCTTATAGTGAGGTACACAAAACTGAACACAGCACTTGAGGTGCCGCCTCACCAGGGCTGAGTACTGAAGGATGATCACCTCCCTGCTCCTGCTGGCACCACCATTCCTGTTACAAGCCAGGATGCCATTGGCCTTCTTGGCCACCTGGGCACACTGCTGGCTCACATTGAGCTAAGCGTTGACCAGTACCCCCAGGTCATGAGAATGCCTGAGCCATCAGATATGCATATGAAAAAATCTACATGTTAAGTAACATCAAAAGGAATCCTACAAAACCTATGAATTCATTTTGATAGATTTTTTTGCAATTATCTACTCATTATCAGAATCAGGCATACTGAAAACAACTTTTATGCAATCTGTACTATGTCTTCACTCATAATGATACCTGTCAACTTTGAGGTTCTGATTTATTCCATTATTTTAAGTCCAACGCAATTCAGTTTTAGATTAAGGGTATCAGTTTAGGAGTGCTCACTTCACAGACCACTTTAGCATCCCCCAAAATTCTCAGTTTGATAGTGAGTACACATACCATTTCTTTCCTGCCTTCATCTTTCTCTTGAAGTTTCAGATGAGCAGATACCTGGAGTACAAAATACAAAGGAATTTGGTTATGTACTGGTCTGATGCTTGACCATCAACTACAGTGGATGTCTCAAGCAAAACATTTCAATGTACAATTTCAGTGACCTCTTCATTCAGTTTAGGCTGAACTATAATGTCCATATCACATATGCCTGTGCATGAGAATAACCTGACTTAAAAACTCCAGCATCCAACAAAAATCACCTTAGAAAGAAAGTCAGTTTTGCAAGTTAAAGGAAGATCAGAAGAAGATTGAAGAATCGTATTTTTGCATAGCTGCTAACTTCACAGGCAGTGCTCAAAGCACAGATTATCTGTGCTTCACCTCTATCATGAGGATAACAAAAAAATGGTTGTTCTTCAGGAGATAAACAAATGAGTACAGAAATAAATTATCTTATGAAAGATGTCACAGCTGTCCTAAGAGGTAGCTGCACAAAACTTTCTGATTAGCCTTTATGAGAAGAAATTAAACTGTTAAGAAATTATTTTTGTCAGAGCTTTGACTGATTAATTTAGACAGAAAGTATCACCTGGGTCCATTTCTACTAAAGTGATCCTATGGGATTCTAACTACAACATTCAAACAAACCAAAGATGAAAAATTCCTCACAGAGGAGTGTCTCTACAGGAAATCAGCCACATAAAGCACAGCCAAGACTATAGTTATTTCTTTGACCTTGAAATTTGTGAACTGATGCTGATATACAGCATGAGCAACCTTAGACTTACTTTGATAACAATCTGAGAAAAATCACCCTGTTTCTCAAGCTGAGCAACAGGCCTTTCTAGACTGATTAGTCTATGTGGCAATTAGTAAACCTCTTGATGCTATGATAAGCATCAAGAAGATTAATGCTGCCTGTAATCGTAGGATTATTCTATTTCTGCTGTTTTCCTTTGAAAAACTCAAAAAGATTTTATACAATTCATTTATTAAAGTCAAGTAAGAGTTAACTAGCAGAGAGACCATGTTTAAAGTCAAAATAGAAACTTTACAGTCAGAACATGGAAGATAGAGAGAAAAGGAAAGCAAATACTTGACCACCACCCAAGAAATACAATGGTTCCTATAAAGACTCATTCTGTATGGAATTGCAGGCTTCATTCTTTGGGAAGACTATTTAGTACAGCCTTAGATTTTCTTCTAAATCATAATGCTCATCACAAAATGAAAGCAATAAAGCAGAAGAAGAATTCAAGTCATTATCAAAGTCCACATACTCTCACTGAGCAGGATCAAATAGAGCTAATAGTAAATGGCATTGCTAGAAGTAAAAATACATGCAATACACAAATAAAGATTTTCCACTTTCTCCCACACGAATAAATTACAGCTAAAAACAAAATTCACCATCATAGCTTCTTGGACAGTCAGATGAGGAAGGAGCATGTCATCTTGCATGATGTAGCAGGAGACTTTGCGAAAGGAGCGTAGGTCACGAGGCTGCCCATTGATGAGAATTTCTCCTTTCATTCCTGTCTCTCTGTAATGAATAAACAAAACAACCAGGCATGAATCTTGCTTTCCTCTGTTATGTCATGGTCCTCATTATGTGGCAGTCCTAGGAAATTACTGTCCAGTATGGAATAAAACTGATAAATGGATAGAAATGAAATTATTTTGTAATTATGCTCTCTTTCATAAGAGGCTGATGATTTTAATTCAATACAAAATGCATACTGTCTTACACAAATGTCTGAAAAAATATGCAGCTGTTGGTTAGGTTTCTCTATATTGTTCCTTATGCACTACTGACAACAACACAGAGAAAACCTATATTTAGCCATACAATAGGAGATTGAGGATGATGAACTACAGTCATTAACCCTTTGCAGTTTGGTCTAGAAGACATCAACACTGTGAATGTATTCATTAAAAAGGGTCTTCTTTTTTGAGAAATTTGTAAGATTTGAACTTAAAATATGACAAACATAAGACACTGAATCAGATTCTCTACAAAGCTGGAACGAGAATTTTTTTGGTGTTCTAGACTTCAAATTGTTTCCTATTTCTGGATCCAACTTATTAACAGATAAATCATACGTGACCACAACAGGAAAAATAGAAAAAATAATATAAGCAATAAGAATCTAATAGAGAATCTGTGGAATATTTATTTTCTATAAACCACTGGGTAAGATTTCTTCTGTTCTTTACTCCAAGGAGTCATCAACCTTGATCCTTACTGTACTTGAGGCTTTCATGTTACTGACCTGTATCCTGCCAGAATGTTCATGAGTGTTGACTTCCCAGCTCCTGAGGGGCCCATAATCGCAACAAGTTCTCCACTGCTGAACTTCCCTGAAATTCCTTTTAAAAGGGTCTTATAGCCTGAAAAAAAGAAAAGTTTACTTAATCCTTCAAAATCATGTCTAGTGGGCAATATAAATTTATTTCCACTAAACAGTGATGACAATTAGACATCACCAGTTCTTTACTGAGAGGCTGATGTTAAGATCAGTACTTTGCAATAACTACTGAAGGCCAAACTGAGAGTGGCAGACCTCTCGTACTACACAAATGGAAACCCACTCATAAGCACACACACTCTTGATTCATTGTATGAAAAATTTCAGAAATTTTTAAAGTTTTAAGCCTTGCTGCCATTTTCTAAGTGTCTTTTCAGGGTACTTTATAATTCTGATGGCTCAGTTATCAGATTTAATACTCCTCAGTTAATGTAACTCCACAGACTTGGAGCAGATTGTTGTCCTCCAATCACTACAGCTTCAATAATTCTGCTCTCTCATCAGAGTAACTACTTGGATGGTAACAGCCAGTCCATCAAAAGCAAAGCCCTATGATTTTGTCCCTTCCCCACCAAAAGAGGTACGACATGAAACACAGCATAAACAAATGTACAGTAAAAGAGAATCCTTAAATTGCAGATTCAGACTTAGTTACATCCATTTTGTCTGGCATGACGCACATTTTAAGGCATACTACAGTCTAACATGTCAGCACTCTGGTGTGGGAAGTCAAGATTTCTAGTACACAGTTTCTCAGTGCTGTGCAGAGGCATTTTACAGAAAGAGGGAATCTGTATGAATAAAGCTTACTATATTTACTGGCAAGCAAAACAAGAAGCTGACATTTAGCTAGCTGACATCTAAAAAACTGTGCAGTAATAATGAGATTGTTGCTTGCAAAACATCACTGGTTAATTTGATTTTCATTACGATCTGTAATAATGACTCACAAATTCACCTTTTCCACTTATGATTTAGAGGAGGTCTCCTTCCTTTAGTGATCTTTAGAGGAGGAATGGGATAATGACTGGGTGAGGAGTGTGGAGAGAGCTCTGACCAGCATTTAAACTTTTCAGAACCATTTTCCCTTTTATTTATTTGCTTGCCTTACTTAAAATGACCACTGCCTTTCATTAAAACACTAACAATAAAAAAATGTCGAGTAAGGTGTCAAAAAACAATCCCACTCTATGTTGAAAATATTTTTATAATAAAGACAAAAATGGAAGGACAGAAGATCCTTTTACATACAGTACTGGGATTCAGTAACCCATTTTGCCATATTAGTGCATACCCAGGCAGCATTTGTATTCAACAGGTAAACAACCCCAGTGCTGTGATCATCATTAGCCTAAGCTGTAGCTGGAACACTGAAATGACATAAAGAATCATCTTGTACACAAGCTCCTAAAAAATGAATGGTTGATTGTCTTCTTCTGATTTCTCTTTCTTCCTAACTCCACCACTTCTTGTTTTTCTCCGGTCCCCAATTAGCATTCTTTTTAAATTTTCTTCTTTTTTCTACTCTCAATTCACACTCTTCCAATACCAGCGAGCAAACATGAATTCCAGGAGAGAACATGAATGTTGTGTTGCCAGAAGACTTCCCAAGTACACAGCCGATACTTTCAGAATTCCCCACTGCAGGAGGAAAGCAGCAGCCACAGAAAATCTCTCTTGGTATACCTGAGCCTTCTTTTTTCACAGCAGATATTCTAGAAAATCTAATTGATCTAAAGTATTGAAACAATGTTTGGGGTTTTTTTTCAGTCTAAAATCTTGTTCTGGACCTGAATGAAACAATTTCCTGGGAAGATACCAAGATAACACAGGTATGAAAAGAACAGTATGAACAGGTATGAAAGAGGTATGAAAACACAGGTTTGAAAGCAGCAGTGTATTCACACTACATCTTTTGGGGGCAAGTCCCATAACAAATACAAACAGAATCTCATGAAAGGAACAGCCGCTTAGAAGAAAGAAATCCGCGGTTCCCCAACAAGGTCTAACAACCTTGTTCCTCATGCCTATCATAGAATCACCAAGGCATGTCACAGTCTTTTGGAAGTCAGAATTTGAAAGAAAAACACAAGGAACAGATCAGATCTTTCAAACAAGGCAGTATGTACTAAACGGGATCTAGATATACAAAGTTCCTCAATATACAAACATTCCTCAAGTCCAATGAGAATCATCTACTTCCCAAACCTATTACATTTAAAAGGGATTTAAGCATTTGACATTAACAGCACTGACTTGTATTACGTCCACACCCACCACATAAACAAATGGAAAACTCTTTCTCACACTGGTTAAAAGCTTGCCAAGTTGGTCTGTTATTCACTTTCACTGGGATAGGATTTATTTCACTGGATCCCAGAGATCCATAGTGTACAGGGTAAAGTACCCTGTATGTCTTTCTCTATACTCTGTCCATTATTTTGAAGCAGTTCAAAATGATGAAAAATCACATGCTAAAATAATGAAAAAGCACATGCTAACTCTATTACAAAAAAAATTTCTATTGTATGGCTTTATTCTGACCTAGATTTTCAGGGTAAAGCATTCTTGTAAGAGGTCTGTAACAGTCAGCACATCATGTGTGCCAAGATCAAGACAGCAAATATTTCACAAACATAAAGAAAAGCAGAAAGTGTATGTATGTACAGTCATGAATATTAAAGGAGGTACTATTTAAAACAAACATTTATCATCTGAAAATATCTATCAACATAAACACCATTACCTAAAATGGAAGTCTTTCCGAAAAAATATGACTTGAAGCTTTAAAATTACATTTATTAAAGTCACTTTTCCAAACACTTCACAAATGGCAATTAGTTTACCTGTAATTACATTATTTTTCTCCTCCCAACACTTGTTTCTGCCCCTCTATTGGAGATTTCTATGTTAAGTGCCTTGCATGCAATGTTTAAATCAGAGTGGGTCACATCTCTACAATGCATCTGCAAAACCATATGGGAACATAATCCAGGAAGAGTAAGAAAAATGTATTAATTTTAGATGAAGATTTCAATCACTGGCAATCTAAGCTGCTACAAACTCAAAGCTGTCTCTTCTTCTGACCAGAAGCACATAAGAAGCCTTTCTGTGACAAAGGCTAATTTAGCAAACCCACAAAAACATTTTACATTGTAGGAATACCGTATCAACCAGTATAATCCTTTAGCAGGAATTAAAGACCATAAGTAACTACAGTCTTCTCTTTCAGAACATTGAGGCTAATCTGTAACCGAATCAGTTGACCTAAAACTCCTATACTGGGCCACATGTCTTGCACGAGAAACAGATTACACATTTGGAGATTGTGTTCTTAAAGTACAGGGACTGCTTTATTTCCCTCTGTTGTGTACTAGGAGTTTCTGACCACCTTCAGTCTCAGTTTACCTGGTCAGCTCCACCTCCTTAGGTCACCAGCTCATGATGAGTGCAACGAGTTTCATTACCAGAGAGCTGTACCTCAAAGAAAACTCTCTACAATTAATGCACGTTATTAGCCGTTCTGTAATAGTACCACTGAGGTCATCTTCTCTTGGCCTGAACTTACATCAAGACAGAGTTAAGTATCAAGAAGTACCTTCAGATACTTCTTTCAAATATTATTTCGATTGCGAATGGAAAATTGTTTGGATCTTTTCAGTTTTCCAATGTTCCCTCCCAGTGTTACTGTGACAAAACCCTTAAAAATATGTTTAGGGTCTTAAGCCCGTGAAAATCTAAATATCAGTTTTCAAGATACTGATACTCCTCAAAATACGAATTCCTCAACAGTAAATTAATAAACCATCACCAACTGAAACAACCACTTAGCAACTTTCTCAGTCCAACCTCACTAAATAAAGGACATGAAAAGAAATCAAAACTGAAAGAGAAAATGTGGGTAAAGCAAAAGGTTTTGGTCTTAATTTCACCTCATTAAATTCCTGGGTTCTCCTGAAACATGAAATTATTTATGTCCGTGCAAAGATTTCCCATGGAAAGCAAACTCCAAGCGCTGTGATTTTAGATCTCACTCATAGTCAGAACCACATCACTGGCTGTAACAGACCCCTATTCAAGAGGTGAATTTCCCTCACTGTATGTATGAGAACAGCACAAAGCCCATAGCAGCCCCTCCTTTAATTAACTGGTCCAGCATGGCCTTTTTATTTGATTAAGATAATAGAGAAGCTCTTGTTGATTAACTCACCTAAATGTTGCTTATTCATTCAACTGAGGAGACATATGGGGACGGCTTTATCTGCTTCCTTGCAGATTTTACAAGGGTTTCTGGGTTTTATCATTTAGTTTTATCATTTTCCAAAAATTATGATTAATCTTGAGAAGAGGAAAGCTACTACCTCCCCATATTTTGGATAGGAGCACATGCTTAAGCATGTGTTTGATCAGCACCAAAAAATTCTAACTAGAACTCCTACCCTTACAGCAAATTTCCTCAGGTAAGTATCCTTGCCTCTAGGTTTCTGATTCAGAAGTTTCATTCATTTGCATTTCATTGCCAGTAATATAGTTATCTGATATTTGGAGAAATATCACACACTCCTAGAAGTTTCTAGGCATTTTGACCTAGTTTTGTATCCATCAATAGGCATACAGAGCTCGCCTCTGATCCCAAGTGGGCCCAGCAGGCTTTCCCTGCTTGGTGCAATTAGAGCAGGATTTGCCCTTCCAAATATGTCTGAACTGGTTCTCTTTCATAAGCACTTCTGAAGGTAGGAAATAGCTGTTGATGCCCTAGCAACTACTACTGAAATTGCTCAAAGGTTTCACAGAAAATTCACTGCAGCAAATAAGTAACATTGAAAATTACAATTCAAATAGCTCAAATTTTGCAAAACGAGAAACTACTGAAAACAAAGCTATAAAATAAGAACTGGGCACTTAAATGTCAAAGCCAGAGTCATCATAGCCTGCACAGTCCACATGATGGAAATAAGCTTGTTTTGTTAGAATAATTTATACAAGGGCTATATTTCTATGTCTTGTGCATTTTTTTCAGATAAGATGTGATTTTCTACTGCTCAGAAATATCCAGCTGGAAATATAAAAGATGCTTCTGAC